GACGGGCAGCAGCAGGTTCGGTTGAGACCAATGCGAATGACTACTGACGTCAACGTCCTGGCAGCGTACTTGGAAGGGCATGAGGTTGAGCCGTTCACGGTGAATTGGCGAATGGACTCATTGCCAACTGAAAGGCAAGTGTTCCAGGCTGCTAGGAAGGAGGATCTGGCCTATCAGTTCTGGAAGCCAAAGGATCGCTTGGAGCTCATCTTGTCGGAGGATGCTGAGCCGGTTCTGGAGAGGAGAGTCACCGAGCAGGTGATTGGATCACCTCGGTATCGGTTGATCTACATGGCAACGGTCACCATGGTGTGGAATGGCCCCGGTGGTACTTCGGCAATCTTTGGGTACTATGTGGAGTCTAGGAGAGACACCAAGTACCTCTATGTGAGCTGGGTTGAGGCCACGCGGGAGGAGTACATCCACGAGAGCGAGATGACTCGAGCGTTGCAAGAACTGCCACCACGGGGGGCAGCTTCTACGGTTCCTGCAGGTCCAGCAAGAGCGGGAGCAATCATGTCCAACAATACCACCTTCACGGTGAATCCAAGGGAGAGGTCTAGATCGAGAGATCAGGAACCGAGAGATCCCAGCAGTTCGGTTCGCTTGAACAAGTTCACGGGACCGAATCCTCATGCCTTACCACTTCAGCCGGTGAATCGAAGGATGGAACTGATCACCAGGTTTGTGAGGCTTCAAGAGGATGAGTACGAACGATGGGAAGCGGACGTTCACAGTGGGCAAGAGGTGATTGACGCCTTTCGTGGACAGTGGAGAGAGATTTTGCCCGTGGATGACACCGTAGATGAGGTGGTGCCAATGTTGGTGTACAACAGCATGAAAGATTGGGAGACTGAGCCTGAGGTCTACATGGTCACGGAGGACGGATTCCGAAGGCATTTGGTCACCATCATGGATGTGCAGGAGTTTCCGGTGGTGGACCCCACGCCTGAGAACACGTTGGACTGGGAGGAGTTGGTGGTCGTCCAGGTGTACAACATGTTCCTTGGAAGGGTGGAGTATCTCCTGTACTGGGACCGAAGGGTGGTGGTGGAAGAGGCACCATTGCCGGCGTTGCCATGGATGGGACGTAGGGACCCTCCTGATCGTGAACCTCGCTTGGCACCAATGAGGGTGGAAACTGCGAGGGAGAACAAGCTCATCGTCGACGACATGATGTTGTTTGAGGAGGTTGAGTTTGAGGAGCTGGGCGAGCCAGAGGAATCCTGGATGGAGCCTATGCTTAGGAAGGCTACCTCTGAAGGCCTTTACACCCCAGGGATTGAAGCGTTGCTGAACGACTTGAAGGAGGACGAGGTGCTTCAGGTTGTGCACACCGTTGACCCGAAGGAGGCGAGTGAGGCGATTGAAAAGTGGAAAAAGCCTATGGCCAAGGAGGTCGACTCGATGGTGGGCATGAACGCTATCCACAAGATTTGGGGTGAAGATGCGAGACGTTTCCGGGCCGATCCAAACTCAGTGGTGGTGCCGTCCAAACTCGTGTACACAGTGAAGCCTCCCACAAGGCCTGAGGAGGGGAAGTACCGACGTCGAGTGCGGGCGGTGGCTTGTGGAAACTTCGCCAATGAGGGCCTGGAGGTGGGTGATCTGTATGCGGCAGGAGCTACAATCGATGGAGTTCGGATTGTGGTCGCTGAAGCCAGTGCAAACAAGTGGAGCATTGGGACGGATGACGTGAAGAACGCCTTCTTGGCTGCACCACTACCAGCGGGTCGTGGGTATGCAATGGAGCCTCCCCGGGCAGCAATCAGAGCTGGCCTGGCCGAGGAGGGGGAGCTGTGGGTCGTGGACGCTGCAGTCTATGGTTTCAAGAAATCCCCAAAGTGGTGGACGGACCATCGCAACTCAAAGGCAAGGCTTGCGAAGTGGAAGGACGATGATGGGAAGCCGGTGAAGTTGGAAGGCTGCTTGACGGACGTCAACCTCTACAAGGTCCTGAAGGAAGAGAAGCCTGGAACGTGGACTTTGACGGGCTTGGTGGTCTTCTATGTGGACGACGTCTTGGCGGCTGGGCCGGATTCCATCTTGCGAGGGTTCTTCGGATGGTTGGGCAGTCAATGGGAGACCAATGGCTGTGAGATGGTGGAGCGAGGAAAACCACCTGTCCGGTTTCTGGGCCTGGAGATTAGCATGCTGGACGATGGGACCTACTGTGTGGGTCAGCAGGGCTACCTTCAGGAGTTGGTTCGAAGCCGGGAAGTCAAGTCCTTCAGCAAGCTGCCAATGGCGAGGGAAATTCCAGAAGGGAGTGCTACGGAGGAGCAGGATCCGAGCATGGTGAAAGAGGCACAGCAGCGGTGTGGAGAGCTGTTGTGGGCTTCCCAACGTGGGCGGCCGGATTTGGCATTCCCAATGGCAGTGATGTCCTCGTTGGTCACGAGAAATGCAAGGGAGGCTGTGAAGATGGGCAAAAAGATGGTGGCCTATCTCAACAGCACCATCGACAAGAAGTTCTTCTTGCCGGGCCCGGACCACGAGCATGCCAACGACTTGGTCCTGTTTACAGATGGCAGCTTTGCACCCACTGCTGCTCAAAGTTACTCAGGGGCTGTGGTCTTTTGGAGGGGTCATCCGATCCTTTGGAAGGCTTCGAAGCAATCACTGACCGCTTTGTCGAGTGCCGAGGCGGAGGTGATCGCGGTGTCCGATGGGGTGGCTTTGCTTCGAGCGGTGAGGTCGGTGTTGGAAGACTTGGGTTTGAAGCCAGCACGGACCGTGGTGAAGGTGGATTCCACAGCTGCGATTGGAGTTCTGACTGGGGAGGGATCGTGGAGGACGAGACACCTCAAACTCCGACATCACTGGATCCGGGAGATGATTGCCACGGGCCAGATCGAGTTGGAGCACCAGCCAGGACAGGGACAGCTCGCAGACGTTTTGACAAAACAAGTGCCCCAGGCGAGGCTTCAGGAGGTCTTCGACGAGTGGAGTTTGCGAGATGGGCCCCCTGAGCTTCGTGTACTACGTGGACAGAAGCAGGTCAAGTTCGAAACCACGGCAGTCGACAGCAGTCTTGAAGCAGCAGCAGTCAACAGCAGTCGTGAACCCGCAGCAGCAGTCAGCAGTAGCAACAGCAGGACGCTAGAAGCAGGGGTGAAGTTCCAGGCTGATTGGGCGTTGAAGTTAGCTACGATGTGCTCTATGGTGTGTGGGGTTAAGGGTGACGCGACGACTTCTGTGCAGCTGAAAGAAGCTCTGGCTTCAGACTGGGAGATGTGGCTGGTGGTCTTGATACTGGTTACAGCTGTGGTGGCCGTGTGGGAATGCTTGAAGGGTTCTACGAAGAAAGTCGTGAGCTTGAGGGCGATGAAATCTGGAGAAAAGGCCGAACACCGTGAAGTGTTGGCGTTGCTGGCCAAAGCGAGGAGCCTGGAGGAAGAAGAGAGGCTTCGTCATTTGGCTGCGAAGTATTTTGCAGAGCGTCGTGAAGCTGGACCCTCGACATCAGTGCAGGTGAGAGATGGGGTGACCTCAGTGCGTGTGGGTGGTTTGGGCGAACCTGGTGGAGTTGGACCGAGGGCAAGCAGTGCTCCGGCCAATCGAGTGGTTGCCTTGGATCCTACAGCCCTATTTCCTGAACGTCCTGTACGAAGAGACATTGGGGTTCAGATGCAGGAGATGCTACCGGCTTCGACGTCGACAGTGGTGCAGGTTCCGTTCGATGGGGTCCTGTACCATGGTCCTGGAGGAGATTGCTACCACTGGCATCGTGGATGTTGGGGTCTTCGCAATGTGGACCAGGTGTCGCAGAGGACGCTGTGCAGATGCTGTCGAGAAGCTGGTGGACAGTCGTTATATGGGCATGGTGGGCAACAGCGAAGCTTGAGACCTACCAGAACGGGCTGAATGGGCTTGCGAGAAGAGCGAGCTTGTTGGGCCGTGGCGTGGAAGTTGGACGTTGGCCGTGTGAGAAGGGAGGCCAAAGGTTCGACAGAAGATGGTGTATAGGGCCATTGGCCAGTCTTGAGGACCCACCGCTTGGAGAGCATGGGTACCTATGGCAGTCAGTTGGATTGCCAAAACGCCTTGTGAGCCTACCTTGACAGGTGGCTCAAGGAGGGGTGATGAAAGGTGTGGAATGAGACGCACCCGTGGCTTTGGCTTTTGTGGTTCCAGGACATGCCGTAGGCATCGGAACATAAGCAGAAGCAGCACAGACATGCAGGCAACAGGTCGCATGTGACTCTCTGTGGCGTGTTGTGGGGTCGCCCTTTCTGTGGTAGGGTAGGACCGCCTGACTGGCCGATGGACTTCGGTGCTGCAGTGTGAGGAAAAGGGAGCCTCTGGTGGTGAAGCTGTGTTCGTACAAGGAGTACAAGCCGAGCCAGAGCCAAGCACAAGCCAAGCTACCATGTCGTTTGCTGGACCTCAAGAGCCCCGCGCTCTTGACCCTAAACCCTAAACCCTAAACCCTAAACCCTAAACCCTAAACCCTAAACCCTAAACCCTAAACCCTTGTGTTGGCACTGGTGGCTGTGTACGAGTTTTCTTGTTTGGGGGGCGGGGGAAGGCTTTGATTGATGCAATCCTCTCAGCCTGCGAAATATGTGGGCTGCAGGGTTGAGCTGCACAATGAGTAGCAGAGGGTGTAGGGTCTAGGGTCCTTGCAATGCAGCTGCAACTTGCCGACTTCGAACACAAAACAACCCAACCGCCCCCCGCCCCCCCCCCCCCCCCCACAAACACACAAAGCTGCTCTCTTATTCGCTCCGTAAACTCACATATTATCTTAATATTTCAACTGGTGAACGAATACGTGAGTGAGCCGCACGCATGAATTTCCAACCTTTCAGAATTTCCCATGCATCACGCGCCAGTATAAGAAAGAACCCTATACTAACCCTTAACCGCAAACCCCCAAAGCCCCTACCCCTGAACCTCTCAACAACCCTAAGAGGGTTCAGGGTTTAGGTTTAGGGTTGATGAGGAACCCTACACCCTGAACCTTAAACCCGAAACCCTAAACCCTAGCGAGTCGCCTCCCGCGTCAGCTGCCGTCTGGGCAGCGGCTTGGGCTTGAAACGGCAGCAGCGGCCGTCGGGAAGGAGGCCCAGCCTCACGGCTTAGGGTTCGTTGGGTTTAGGGTTTCGGCTTTGGGTTTAGGGTTTAGGGTTTCAGGTTTCAGGGTTAGGGTTTAGGGCTCGGGGGCTTCGTGTTCGTAAGGTTTAGGGTCCAGGGGTTTTGGTTTAGGGTTCATAGGGGGTTCACAGGGTTATAAAGTTTAGGGTCCATAAGGGTTAAAGTTTAGGGCGCAGAAGCTCTTTCTCCATTCTTTTGCTCCAAGCGTCTGTTGACCAAAGAAAGGCCGGAGTGTTTCTAGTGGCCAGGAATTAACTGGGCGCACGCCGCTTTGTTCGGGGCACCGTTGAAATCTGGGGGGAAAAATGTGCTCGGAGTGGTCACGAGGAGGCTCTTGGGGTTGCCCTCATCAACCCTGTTTCGGTCCGAGCCGGTCTTTAAAGAATAGTTCCTGTCTCGGGTGGACAGCTTAGGCCTTGGCATCCTCCTTGGCCATGTGCTTGATCAGGTCCACAACCCGGCAGGAGTAGCCCCACTCCTGGGACTTGAGGGCCCCAGCATTTAAGAGCTAAACCCTAAACCCTAAACCCTAAACCCTAAACCCTAAACCCTAAACCCTAAACCCTAAACCCTAAACCCTAAACCCTAAACCCTAAACCCTAAACCCTGACTTGAGGGCCCCAGCATTTAGGGTCTAGGGCTTAGGGTTTAGGGTCAAAATGAAATCCTACGCGTTCTTTTGGGTCAGTACTAATGTCAATACAGGGATGAGGGCCCGCAAGCTTTAACACGTTGAGGCCAAATCAACCCAGTCTCGTTGTCATACCAGCAGACCACCTTGACGAAGGTGGGGTCCAGCATGATGCCAGCCTTGGAGTCGAAAGTGCAAGAGATCGGGTTGGTCTCGAAGTCCGTGGACACCAGGGCCTCGTCGGTGTAGCCCAGGTAGCCCTTCATGTCGCCCTCGGAGCGCTTCTTCATCTCGGCGCAGATCTCCTCGTAGGTGGTCTCCTTCTCCAGCTCGCACGTGAGGTCCACCACGGACACGTCGATGGTCGGCACTCGCAAGGCCATGCCGGTAAGCTTGCCCTTCACAGCCGGAAGGACCTTTGCCACCGCTTTCGCGGCACCGGTGGAGCTGGGAATGATGTTGCCCGGGCCGGCACGTCCGCCACGCCAGTCCTTCTTGGAGGTGCCATCCACGGTGGGCTGCGAGGCGGTCATGGCGTGGCAGGTGGTCATGAGGCCGCGCTTGATGCCGAACTTCTCTTGCAGGACGCGGACTGCCGGGGCCAGGCCGTTGGTGGTGCATGAGGCACAGGACACGCACTCCATGGAGGGATCGTAGGTGTCCTCGTTCACGCCCATGACGATGGTGTGGGAGTCATCCTTGGCAGGAGCGGAGAAGATCACCTTCTTGGCACCGGCCTTCAAGTGAGGCTGCACCTTGTCGGTGGTCAGGAACACGCCCGTGGACTCGCACACGTACTCTGCACCATGCTCCTTGAAGGGAATCTCTGCAGGGTCACGGGTGTGGGACAGTGCCACCGTCTGCCCGTCAATGACCAGGGAGTCGCCATCGACCTCGACAGTTCCATCATACTTGCCATGAATCGTATCGTACTTCATCATGTAGGCCAAGTAGTCTGCGTCGTAGCTCGCATTAATCAACTTCAAGTCGGTCTCCGGATCCTTCATGGCGATGCGGGCCACCTGGCGACCGATGCGGCCGAAGCCGTTGATGCCGACGCCCACGGCCTGGAGGGAGGTGCGTCCCTTGCTGGCGCGCTTGCCAGCCACTCCCGCAGCGGCCAGGCCAGCCACAGCACCGAGGCCGGCCATGGCGCCAACACTGGTAGTCTGAGAAGAGCCATACCCAGCTGCGCGGAGGTTGGTCCTCTGCATCTGGGGCTCGCTATGCTGAACCTGGCCAGCAGGCGCCACGAAGGCACCGCTCAAGGCACCTGCTGCTGCGAAGGCACCGACGCCTGCCATGGCAACGTTGGTGGCGGTGGAAGGCATGCTGCTAGCCTCAAAAAGGAATCAGCTGTACGCGAAGGGCTGTTTGCACCGAACTCCTGCGGCCACCGCGAAGTGCTTGGATCAGAATCTGCATGGTGCAAAGTTACTGCAACCATCATTCTCCCACAACTGGAGGCTAGGACATTTTGCCTTGGGACCCTTCGTGGCCCCAAGTGGCTGCTTTTCCCAGCTACTTGAACGAGGCTGTTCACAGCTACAGCGACCCGTAATCCTTTGTTGAACTTCCCAAGCTCCCCAAAAGACTTGGTTGGTTGTTCCGGCGGCAGCTGCAGCAGCCAGTGGCTCGTCACCATCTTGGGCCTGCCCTCGGCCTTTCATTGCCTGCTTTAGGATCCTCAACTTTGTGGTCAGCAACATCGAATACGAAAATGATCTATGGGTCCCCGTGTGCAGCCAGCAGCCGCGCACCTTCCGTGCTGGTGATGCGCCGAGGCGTTCTCCAGGACCTCTGAGTGTTCAGGCTTTGGGGTTTTGGGTTTAGGGTTTAGGGTTGAGTCCGGGTTGAGGAGCTAGGGTTTAGGGCTCAGATCCGTTTTTGTGCTCGGGGGGGAGGGGAAGTTGGGGGTGTTGGTGGAAGAGTGAGGTCTTGTGGAGGAGCTGACAAACACGGAGTGCAGACCTCAAACCCCTTCGAAGCCTCACTTCTTTGGGGTTTCAGCGTGTAGGTTGGAGGTGTTTGGGGTTTATACTGGTTTATTTTCCTACAGTTTAGGGTTTAGGGTTTAGGGTTAGGGTTTCCTAAACCCTAAACCCTAAACCCTAAACCCCAAACCCTAAACCCCTAAACCCTTAAACCCTCTAGGGTTAAACCCTAGAGGGTGTGGAGTTCAGGATTGCAGCCTGCGAGTCGACCATGGAGTGCTCGGAGTGGCGGCTCTATGGGCTTAGCTTCTATCCCCCTTGTTAGGTTTAGGGTTTAGGGTTTAGGGTTTAGGGTTTAGGGTTTAGGGTTTAGGGTTTAGGGTTTAGGGTTTAGGGGAGTTCTACGTAGGGTTTCAAGATCTTCAGGTTTGGGGTTTAGAATGCTACGAATACAACAACATCTACCCTACACGGAAGACTGGACTTATAACTCTCATGGATCCTCGCGGCCGTGTAATTGCAAACCCGAAGCTTCCTACACCCGACAGCAAACCCGGCCCTAACCCCGAGAAGCCTTCTCAGTCTTCCCATCTCTGGGTGGGCTTGGCTTGCAGGGTTAACTATTGCCTACCGCAATGCCCAACCCCGGACCCGAAGCCCTGAACTAAAACCCACCAATCTCAGCTTCAAGGTAGAGGTGGTATCCCTAGCGGGCCCTTGTAGTACTAGCAACATAATGCCTGCGCTCCTCAAAAGGTTCTAGACAAGGGCCTCCAAACCCCAAGGCACACCTCCCTGGCTATCTTAGCCCGCAAAGACCCCAACGTCACAAAATTCTCAACCCAAAGCCTTTAAACCCCACACACAGGCACACAAAGCTTCAAAAACTACAGCCTGATCCGAGCCCTAAACCCCAAACTGCAGTGCCTCAGGCACGCTGCTTCTGTAGACAGTGTCTCCGGGCAACGGCCCCTAGCACGGTCTGCGAAGGGGTATGTGTAGTTGGGTCAGGTGAGATTTTTCGGGACAGAAGTGGATCTCAGTGGGCTGAGAGTGGGTTATGCCGTCCTCGTGCTGGCCGAATCCAAGATTATGGGCACTAGCCCTTGGAGTCCTGGTAGAAAGGCCCAAATGAAGTCATGGAATGCCCTCGGGCGCCTGGTGAAGAAATTCACGGTTTAGGGCGAAGCCTTCAAACCGCTGAGCCCTGAATCCCCCCGCACGGCGCCCAAAGCTCTACGCAAGAGACTGGCACCCATGACTCCAAGCATCCTAAACCCTGAACCCCAAACCCTGAACTCCTAATCCCGAAACCCTGACCTGACCCCTAAACCCTAAACCCTAAACCCTAAACCCTAAACCCTAAACCCCTAAAACCCATAAACCCATAAAGCCCCTAAGCCCGGACGAATGCATCAACACAAGGAAGCCTCAGCGGGGGAGTTGGACTCCCACTGTGCTGCTGGGGCGGCCTCGCTCGAAGAAACCCAGAGGGAGGGTTAGGGTTTAGGGTTTAGGGTTTAGGGTTTAGGGTTTGGGGTTTAGGGTTTAGGGTTTAGGGTTTAGGGTTTAGGGTTTAGGGTTTAGGGTTTAGGGTTTAGGGTTCAGGGTTTAGGGCCTAGGGTTTGGGGTTTTGGGTTGAGGGTCGAGGGTTGGATGTGGTTTGGGTTAGGAGTTTTGCATGGCTCCTAGTACGCCAAGGCTCCTCTCGAAGCGGGAAGATTCGCTACGGGCAGGGCGCGCTCTGGGGCAACAGCGAGTAGTGGTGTTGTAGATTGATGCGTTCCTCTTATCGGAAAGCCGTTTCTCTAGACCCGAAACCCTAAACCCTCAAACCCTAAACTCTAAACCCTAAGCCTAAACCCTAAACCCTTGTCAGCGTGCTGGACACCCGAAGCCGTGTTTCTGCAAAGTTCCGATCCAGACCCCCCCCCCCCCCCCCCCCCCCCCCGGCCCCCCCCGGCCAAGCCCTCAATCTCTTAGCCACATCAACCCTAGGATTGCCCTTAAACCCCTCTGAAAGATATTCCTGAATACGATCCTCTTAAACCCAATAAGGGAAATATAAAATACCCCAAGGGCCTACCTAGAACCTCTACGTTACAACCACAGAGCCCCAACACCCCATGCAAGCCTAACGCCCCCTAACACACCCCCCGCCCCCCCAAAAAAACCCTGTAAACCCTGAGCCCCAGAACCTGCCATCCCCAAGTCTCTGAAGCTTTCGCCTAAACCCCCGAACCCCAACCCTAAACCCTAAACCCTAAACCCTAAACTCCCAGGCGTCAAGTCCCTGGCTGTCTGAGTTGCATCGCAGTGTCGATGGCGGCGGACGTCCTCGAGTCGGGCACGTCCAGGGGTTGAGGGTTGAGGGTTTAGGGTGTTTAGGGTAAAGATCTCTGAATCCAGACCACCTCTCCACCCCCGACCCCAGGCCCTCCCAAAAACCTTCAGCCCCCTCAGTGTGGAGCTTGAGAAGTCTCAGCTCACAAGAACAAAAAAAGGCACCACCGCCAACATAAGAACATAGCAAGTCTGGTTCGACAAAGGGGGGGGGGTGGGGGGGGGGCACCTCGGGACACTAGCCCCGGAAGCCCTAGACTAGCTCCCAGGCCTCTGAAGCTCCAAACTCAAACACTAGAAGAATATAAGGGGCATACTGGGAGTGTTGTACGGGAACCTCTTCGGGTCACAGCCTTAGGGGACAGGTATACCCCTAAACCCTAAACCCTGAACCCTGAACCCTGAACGCTAAACCCTAAACCCTAAACCCTACACCCTAAACCCAAACCCTAAACCCTAAAGCCCCTTCAAGCCATTCCAGCCCTAAAGCAAAAGGCAGTCCTGGAGCCTGCTCTGCAGAAGACGCTGGCTGGCGCTAAGTGCGGCCGCGCTGGCCACCTCCACAGCCTGCGTACCGGGGCTTGAAGGGCAGGCTTGAAGGGGTTTAGGGTTTAGGGTTTAGGGTTGAGGGTTGAGGGTTGAGGGTTTAGGGCTCGTGGCCAGGGCCGGGGGGGGGGGGGGGGGGTTGGAATCCTGTGACAACAGCCTCAAGTCCTGGCGCCCTAAAACTCCCCGCCCCCACCTAGAGCAACCTAAAATGCCCTCAAACAGGAAAATAATGTACCCTCTAGTACCCCAAACCCTAAAGCTCTTAAACGCTTCTAACACACCTTGCCTTCCCATTTCCTTGAAATCGGGTTAAGCCCCTTCAAACCGAAAAGGGCACACTTTTTTTTCCTTGGTTGCTCTTAGACTTTCAGCTCGCAAGCCGAAACCCTAAGCCTTCTAATGCAGGATTATGAATCGGAGGCGAATACCTAAACCCTAAACCCTAAACCCTAAACCCTAAACCCTAAACCCTGAACCCTAAACCCTAAACCCTAAATCCTAAACCCTAAACCCTAAACCCTAAACCCTGAACCCTAAACGCGCCTCGGGCTCTTCGCAGCCTTGGAGCCAGAGGCCCAGTGCCAGGGCCGCCAGGGCAACGCGCATCAGGGCTCCGCAGTTCAGGGTTTAGGGTTTAGGGTTTAGGGTTCAGAGTTCAGGGTTTAGGGTTCAGGGTTCGGGGTTTAGGGTTCAGGGTTCGGGGTTGAGGGTTTGCTGCTTTAGGGTTTCGTGGGTTTGCTGCGAGGTTGAGGGCCAGAGGGTATGTTTCGGCTTGTGGAGTTTGGGGTTTAGGGTTTCATTGAGGGTTTGGGATTTGAGGGTTGTAGGCTTGAGGGCTGAAGGAGTTAGGGTGTAGGCTGCGTATTACTTAGAGAAGGTTACTGTAGTGGTCGCCTACTCGGCGCCTATAGCTTCAGGGCGTCCAGTTCTTGTGCTATGCCAGCGGTGCTCCTTCATCTTGCATTGCATATACAGAGGAAAAAAACCTAAACCTAAACCAAAGAGAGAGAGAGAGAGAGAGAGAGAGAGACAGGGAGAGAGAGAGAGAGAGCGAGCAAGCGAGCGAAACATACAGACATACAGACATAGTTTGTGTGTGCCAGTCTTTTGGTTTTTCTGGTTTGTTCACTTTCGCCATGGAGAGCGAGTCCTCAAAGAAACCAAAGTACCCAGGTGTCTTGCAGCCGTGCCCCTGGATTACACATTGATCATTGCTGCACCCTGAACCCCCAACCTCTAGAAACGTACTTCCTACTTCATTAAACCGAAAAAACCAACGTCATCGCGTGGGCGGCTGTTTAAGGGCCTCCGGTGCCATCATAAGAGGCCCCCAGATCTCCCCAAATAGCTTAGCAATGGTATATCATTTGAATCATGAAGGGGTTCCTCTTCTGGCTTTAACAGATATTCCTTAGTTGAGCTGCTTTGAATTCAGGGCCAGCAAACCTCCATCTTCAAGCCCGTCCCTACATGAGATGCAAGTCATCTTTTGCGGGCTGTCGGACATTCCCTCCGCCGCCAGGATCCTGGTCATGGAGAAGGCCGGATGACTTCCTCAGCTGCTCCCGAAACCCTAAACCCTGAGCCCCAAACCCTTCCGTTCAGGATCCAGGCTTTGGGATTTCGGGATTGGGCTTCTTGAGCTTTCGGAATCTTACCCCTTAAGCTCATCTAAATCCGGTTTAAGATTTAGGGTCTTAGCAGAAATTCAGTGAAGCTTCTGACGTCCCCTACATCCCTGTAGCCTAAAGTGCTGAACGCTGCATTCCTCCTGTGCTCCTGCTGAAGGTTTTCAGGTTTAGGGTTAAGCGTTTGGGGCTGCGTGATAAGGGGTAGCGGGTTAAGGGTTTCTTTGGTCAACCCTAAACCCTAGACCCTAGACCCTAGACCCTAAACCCTCCAGGGTAAGTTTAACCGCAGCATACCATTCATCGCCACCAAGATGGCAATGACTTTCAAGGTAGTGGATGATCCACGTGGTGGTGCTGTTTTGGGTCAACCATAACCTATAAACTTTAGATCTTATTCCAAGACCCAAAACCCCAAAGCCCCAAAAACCACAATCCAAACCCAAAAGCCCACAACCCAAAACCCACAACCCAAAAACCCACAAGCCCAAACCACAACCCCAAAACCCACAACCCAAACCCACCCAAAACCCCACAATCAAAGCGATATATGGGCCTGAATGGCAAGAATAGGGTTGGGGGGTTATTGTAGTACAGTTAGAAAGGGGCCATGAGGGAATACTATGAATGATAAACCCTAAACCCTAAACCCTAAACCCCAAAGTCCTGTATTAGCGTTGGTCCAGGGGGCGGGGGTCCGAGGCAAACTTCTCAAAGCGGCGTGTCTGCGCTGACTTCCCGGCGGCCGCCTTCTTGCTGGCTGAGGTTGTTGTTTTAGGGTTTAGGGTTTAGGGTTTAGGGTTTAGGGTTTAGGGTTTAGGGTTTAAGGTTTGGGGTTTGGGGTTTAGGGTTTAGAAAGTTTAGGGTTTAGGGTTTAGAAAGTTAAGGTTTAGGGTTAGGGTTTAGAAGCTTTTGACGGCCAGTTGTGTTGAATATGTGTTTCCTCTGTCTCCGTCTTCTCCCAGAAGGGGGACGTCAGGAACGGTATAGGTCCATAATGGTCCACTATGGGGAGGTCATAGGCCGGCATGGCAAGTATGCATACTAAGTCTACTCGGTGGAGTGAAAACCTTAAACCCTGAAACCCTCGACCCAAGCCCTGAACCCTGTCCTCGCGCGCCTGGGACTCCTCCAGGGCAAGCCGAATCATGCGTCCCGAGTTGCGAGCCCTGGTGCTGCTGAGGACGTTCGGCGTTGCTTGAGTCTAAACATTAAACCCTGTAAACCACAAACACCATGCCGCAAAGCAGAAACCTCCTCTCTGTCTCTCTCTGTCTCTCTCTCTCTCTGTTCGTGGTGCTTGGGATTCTTGGGCCCCCCCGGTTTGGATGCTCTAGGGATGCGCCTTCCTTGTCTTCAACGGCTTCGGGCTTCAGACGTAGATCTTTGGGTGAGCAGGTGCGAGGATGTTTGCCCGAAGCCCCGACTTGCCAGTGGCCCCACCCTGTATTCGGGGTGCACTTTTAGGGTTTAGGGTTTAGGGTTTAGGGTATTTGAATCTTGACTCCTTGGCTCACACTGGGCATGATGAGGTCGTGGGGTCTCCCTAGCTACCTGGGTGCTTGCTACAAGCTTGTGGTGCCCTGTGCTTCACTCTTGAACTTGGGGGACCGTGGCGCTGCCTCCTAATTTGTAGGGTCTGGCGTTGCAGGTAGGCGTTTAGGCTTGAAGGGCTTTGAAGAGCAAGGGCTTTCCTTTTGGACTTCCCTTTCATGAAGACGTATACCCTCAAGTATATACAGCCGAGGGGACCTGATCATGCATAAGTACACTCCTGCCTAGACGGCTCCCGGGATTGCTCGAGATTTGGGGTGTAGTGGCCTTCCCAGCAGCAGGAGCAGAACAAAGGCGTCGTAGAACAACCTTGGGAGCGGTTTCAGGGGTCACATGGATCATGGCACACAAACCCCTAAACTCTCAGTAGCCAAAAACCATCTCCCTTTTGGCACTGAATCCGAAAGACCCCAACGGGCTGACGCAGAGCTTAAGTCTAAGGTGTCTTCGGGCTCCAAGGACGTAAAATAAGGGTTGTTGGGCTCCCTGGGACGCTGATCCGAGCTCGGAAGTCTCCGTGACCGAATCAGCAGCCACAATGTTGAGAAGCGGAGTTCAGACTTCAGGTAGTTGCAGGCTCGAGGGTTTAGGGTGTAGGGTTTAGGAGCCTCATAGCCTTCCGTGAACGTCGAGTGCGTCCGCTCTTGGGCTCCAGCTGGCAAAGGAGTGCTGGGTGAGGACCAAACTCCTCCAACATTTGCAAAGGTGCCCAATGGCCCCTACAAAGCCCTAAACCGTTAAACCCTAAACCCTCAACTGTAACTCAACCCTACACCCCCAAAATGAACCCTTAACGTGACCGTAAACCTAAACCCCTGAAGCCTGTGCCTTTGGCTTTGAGGGTGTAGGGGGAAGGGCCCTGGGAGTACCAACGTGCAATAGACGCCGCAAACGCTGCAATATGAGGGGCCATTGAGTCAGGGTGGGTATTCTGGGTGGTGTTAATAGAGGTTTAATGAGCATAATACTCACAATTCTGGAGGTGCCCCTTAAAGGCGGCCCACACCCTATACCCGGATTTCTTAAAAAGTCAGGCTCCTGTTTTGGAGGTTGCTGGTGGTGGGCTTAGGCCTGGTACCCCAGTAACAGTAACCATGTTATAGAAAGGGTTCCCTTTTTTGGGTGGGTTACTTTATAAGGGAACCTTGAACCCAAAAAAGGGCAACGGGACCACTGGGCTACCAAGTACGGAACATTGGAAGCTTTAGGGTCCAGGGTGTAGGGCTTTGGGATTGATTGAGGGTTGAAGATTTCGAAACCCTGTGCCCAAGCCCAAACCCTAAACCCTAAAGCTCCGAAGGCCCGGGCCTAGGGCTTCGGTACCTGGGGCGCCCCGAAGACGCCAACAAGTTCGCTTAATGCAACAATCACTACGTAGAGCTCCTCGCATATGAGCTCGGTCATTTCGGAAACCTGCCAGGTTCCCTAAACCCTAAACCCTACACCTCAAACCCTAAACCCTAAAACCCTAACCCCCTAACCCGCAGCTCCAAGCAAAACCGAAGCAGCCGAAGTTCCATCAGCTGCTCATAGCTGAAACAGGATCTAGGTAGGTTTAGGGTTTAGGGTTTAGGGTTTAGGGTTTAGGGTTTAGGGTTTAGGGTTTAGGGTTTAGGGTTGAGGGTTGAGGGTTGAGGGTTGAGGGTTTAGGGTTCCCTAAACCCTCAATCCGAAACCCTGAACCCTAAACCCTGGACCCTAAACCTTGAACCTTAAACCCCTAAACTCTAAACGCTCGTCTGACTGACCAAAAAGGGGGCTGCAGCGCAGAGCCTGAAAGGGATCATGTAGTAGGGTACCTAGTTCCCGAACTCCTGATTTCAACCTCTCATGACCCTAAACCCTAAACCCTAAACCCTAAACCCTAAACCCTAAACCCTAAACCCTAAACCCTAAACCCTAAACCCTAAACCCTAAACCCTGAACCCTGAACCCTGAACCCTGAACACAAACATTTTTTTTTTTTTGGGGGGGGGGGGGGTCGGGGTGGACACAGGACACAAGAGACCGAGAGCTGCGAGTTGCACGACGCTCTTGGGCTGACCGCGCTCTTCAAAAGCACATGGGGCTTGATCCGATCCCAGGCCCCCTTGGAGCAAATTCTGGGTTCCTATTTAAAAAAACATACGCCGACCTTCGAGTTTTGCCAAAACAAGAATGGAAACCGGTCCTTGAGCTAGGTCCACGCCTCGGGTACGGCCCTTGAGCCCCGAAAAGCCCTGGGTGGAAGTCTTGGAGAGTTGTGCTGCTGCTTCCGGTGGTATGCCAGCCCATCGTAGACGTGGTGAGATTGCAAAGTTCGGGGTTCCGAAAGTTCTGCATACCCGAAGCACTCAACCCGAAACCCTTGAACCCCTTGAACCCTGAACCCTGAACCCTGAACCCTAAACCCTAAACCCCCAAACCGAACCTGAGAGAGCAGCTCGGACTCCGCCGATTCGGCCTGCATGCCATGTGGGGCTTCTCTGAGTTTTGCAGACCCCTTTTGCCTCTCAGATGGTGGTTTCCCGAAATAGGGGTACCACCATTTGGGGGGGGGTCCCTTTAAGGGGACTCCATCCTATTGGGAAAAGAAGGGGTGCCTCTATTTTGGGAAATACCCAGATCTTCGTAGGGGTTTATGTCGGGTTCTCGGCTCGCGCCTGGGTTGTCTGGATCGCGGCTCTCAAACCTATGCACCGAACTGTTCGTGGGCTAAGGGTTTAGGGTGGAAGGCACCTAGAAGTAGAGCTCCACAACTCTATATCACATGTAGCGTACCTGTAGAGCTACTCGGAGGTTTAGGGTACAACCCCCCCCCCCCCCCCCCAATTATAACTGTACTTACAAGCCCCTAGGTCCTCTAAGCAGGTCAGAAGTAGACTTTCAACTCGGGTTTTAGTACCCATGACTGAATCCTGAAAAAGATGGCCAGGCTGCATGAAAACGACCCCCCCATGAAACTCTAAACCCTAGACCCCTCTTGCGAGGCCCTGGCCTTGGGAGCCCCTCAGGGTTTAGGGTTTAGGGTTTAGGGTTTAGGGTTTAGGGTTTAGGGTTTAGGGTTTAGGGTGGGTTCAGGCTTCCGAGCCTCCTGAGCGTTGAAGTCTCGCGACTGCCAACGCCTAGGGCTCATCTGACTTGGCTTTTGGGATGTTAGTTTTTCGTTTTAGGGTTTCGTTTCAACTTTTGGTTGCTTTAGGGCGAAAAAAAAGTCTACGGAATTTGGGATTGCAGGGCTTGTGGTGTTTTCGAGGTTCAGGGGAGAGAGCCGTCGGCAAGAGAAGGGGCACCCTCCCAGACCTACTGCGAGCAATGTGTGGGAACACCTGTTGGGAGGGGCCCTACATTAATACAGGGGTCGGAATAATTGCTAGTAACTGCTAGTAGTATTCCCTTATGGTCCCATTGTAATGGTGCTATAATCACCCCTAAACCCTAAACCCTCAACCCTAAACCCTAAACCCTGGACCCTGGACCCTGAACCCTGAACCCTGAACTCTAAACCCTTTTCGGGGGATTGAGGGGCCCCTAAGTAGCTTCTGCATCCTGGCGACCGCATCTTCGCAGACAGCTGCGCGTCGAGGGCTGCTAGCCTCGGATCTGGGTTTCAAGGGTTTAGGAAAGTTCCGTCCTAAACCCTAAACCCTAAACCCTAAACCCTAAACCCTAAACCCTAAACCCTAAACCCTAAACCCTAAACCCTAAATCCTAAACCCTAAACCCTAAACCCTAAACCCTAAGCTCGAAACCCGAGTTGGTGTGTTGCCTAAACCAACTTTTTCCGAGCTCAAGGTCCCTCACGAGTTCTTAGTCGGAGTTAGGCAGCCTCTAGAACCCTGTACGGATCATTTTTGTTCCCATAAAGAACTGGCAAGGAACCCCGAAGCTCAAATTCCCACATGCCCTATCAAGAATAGTAGTACGACCAGCAAGGAAGCCCTAAACCCTATCTCCCTCATTGCCTGTTAAGAACTGGCAGCAGGCAACCAACCCTCATTCGCTACTCAGAACCCTAAACCCTAAACCCTAAACCCTAAACCCTAAACCCTAAACCCTAAACCCTAAACCCTAAACCCTAAACCCTAAACCCTAAACCCAAACCCTAAACCAAACAGTCGCGGATGTGACTTCCGAAGCACAACCGCGGAGACTGCAGACCAAGTCGCCGGAGCCGCAGCTCGTCACTCCGGAGCCTCTAGGGTTTAGGGTTTAGGGTGTAGGGTTTAGGGGTTAGGGGTTTAGGGTTTAGGGGTTTAGGGGTTTAGGGTTTAGGGTTTAGGGTCTATGGAATTTAGGTTTCTATCTAGGGGTTGCGTAGACTTTATAAGGGGGTTTGGGGCCCCTATTGACACCCTAAACCCTAAACCCGGGGCCCACCCTAAACCCTAAACCCTAAACCCTAAACCCCAAACCCAGATCCCAAATGAAAATGGGCGTTTCCCACATTTCACCCAGGAGCAGGTTCTCTGAAGAGCAGACCGGGCAGCAGCAAGAAAAGCGCCACCTGCCACTCAAGTTCCTACCATGTTTAGGGTTTAGGGTTTCAGGCAAAGGGGGGTTCATGGGCCATGAGTACCCTATGCTCTACACTATACTACTGATTGCTTAAGAACCCCCCCCCAAAAAAAAAAATTGTTCCTTATTCATGAAGGGTAATATAGGGATTATTGCTTTCCTTATTCTTTTGGGGTTCTTAAGCAAATAGTAGTATAGCTAGCCATGAACCTTCAAGTATGCCTTCTCAGCCCTATCATCCCCAGACCCTGGAAACCCTGCCATTTGGAGCCCTGAGCCGTGGAAGCCCATGAATGTCAAACCCGCCACCCTCAACCCTAAAACCCAAAAACCCAAAAACCCAAAAACCCTAAAACCCTAAAAACCCTAAAAACCCTAAAAACCCTAAAACCCTAAAACCCTCAAACCCTAAACCCTAAAACCCTAAAACCCTAAAACCCTAAAACCCTAAAACCCTAAAACCCTAAAACCCTAAAACCCTAAACCCTAAGGTTGGAATCTCATGATCTCGCAATGAGGGCCACCTCCTTGTGAGCTGTACCTGCCGCTGTTCCTGCGACAGGAAGGCAGGAACGTAGCAGAGGCAAAGCTCCTCGCCCGGCCTCGGAAAAGGAATGAGTTTTCTGAACTTAGGGTTTAGGGTTTAGGGCTAGGGTTTAGGGCTTAGGGTTTAGGGTTTAGGATTTAGGGTTCAAGGTTTAAGGCGAGGGGAGAAAGGTGAGAAGATATGTTGGACCGAGGGTGTCGTGGGTTTTTGTCGTGTTGGTCACTAGTTGTCTCTTGACATTGCAGGCCCCCAACCTCCAGAACGATTACAAAGACGCACACACTTTGGCAAGGTAAGAACTTATGAGATGGACTTCGACAGGACATGGCGTTGCGTCAGGTACGTCCAGTGGCGTCCCACTGGATATCACAGGCATCCAACCAGTGTCTTTGTTAGCACCGGACTGATTGGAGCCCCCGGTGCCCCCTACAGTGTAAAGCATGGCACAAATGTGGAAGAATGCGATGTGCTCCACCATGTCCATGTGTTGCCACACACACACACACACACACACACACACACACACACGCGCAGAGTACCCCCCAATTCCCGAACTCCTAAAACACTGACACCCAATGACACCCCAAAATCCAACCAAACCCAAAATCCTCCTAACTCCGAAAGTCCTCCCACCCTAAACATCGGGGCGGCCCAGTTCCTCTCCCCATGGGACCCAGCTGGATGGATCTCGTTGCATGCAATACCACTTCACCGTCCTCATTGAGAATACGCAGGGCTTAGGGTTTACGGTTTAGGGTTTAGGGCTTCAGACGAACAGGTCTCTTTCGGATAAGCTCTGCTCTCTTTTTTGGGGGGTCAGTCTGGCAAGTGACCAGGGATCGCCTGGCAACCCAAACCCTGAAGTTTGAGTTAACAAGCTGCTTGCACTTAGGGTTTAAGGTTGAGAGTTCAGAATTTCCAGTTTAGAGTCTAAGGGGTTGAGGGACCACTACAAGCTGAAATTTCGGCTCAGAGGTGGCTCCGGGAGGTAGGGCCGCTAGGGTTTAGGGTTGCAGGGTCTAGCAGTTCAGGGTTGCAGGGAAATGGCTCGAGTCACACACCCAGGGGCAAGTACAGTTCTCGGTTCAGCCTTAACCTCAGCACCCGGAATTCCAAAACCCTAAGCAACCGTAAACCCTAAACCCTAAACCCTCAACCCTACACCCTAAACTGCTCCTTAATCCCTAAACCCTAAACCCCAATCCCGAAACCCTAAACCCTAAACCCATTAAGGCCCTAACCCCCCTGTCCTTTGCCTGCCAGGAGTGAACGACGTTGGGGCGGCAGCTGTGGTTCAGCCTTGAGATGCTTGAGCGCCCTGGGCCCTAAACCCCTAGACCGTGAACTGTTCAGGTTTAGGGTTTAGGGTTCAGGGTTTAGGGTTTAGGGTTTAGGGGTTAGGGTTTAGGGTTTAGGGTTTAAGGGTTTAGGGTTCGGCCCTTAAGCCCCCTTACGATCGTCAACCCTTAACCGTGAGATCTTAGCGGTGCACGGGCTTCAGGGCGTCGAGCATTCGGCTGGTGTCTTCGGCGCTTGGGGCTTTGGGCCTACTTGGAGTGGGTACTTCTAACCCAGCTATATGTCTACCTATTACCTGCGAAGGGAACTTAGAGGGCTTAGAAGTGGGGAGGGGGGGGGGGTTGAACTTAATATTAGGGGAGGGCATTAACTAGACCGGGAGTAACCTAGGAACAAAAAGGGTACCCTTTTTGGTTTTAACGGGATGATAAGGGAACCCCAACCCTAAAAAAAGGACAAAAGGGCTACTCCCGGTCCTAGTTAATCCCTGAAGCCCGAACCCCGGGTGTAGGGCTAAGTCAGCCGGCCTCGACATGTCCGGAAACAGCATCGCTTGCCTCAGGGCAGCTGGCCAAGCCCGGGCTCAAGGGACCAGGGGTTTAGGGTTTAGGGTTTAGGGTTTAGGGTTTAGGGCTGAAGGAACCGGGTGGCCCAAGGGGAGAGGGGTGAATTTTTGGGTCTTAGGGTTTGGAATGGTTTGGATTTAGGGTTAAGGTTTGCTGGGGGAATTTGGGGGGGCTTATGCGGGTGGTCATGAAACAATCCAGGCGCGAGCTTGTCGCTTGTCGTGGCGAGTCTTGCAGGTCTTGGGGTTCCCGAATATACCCTGGTCCCTTGTAAATTCTGCCTAAGATCCCCATGTACCTCCCAAACCCTAAGCCCTGCCTCAAGCTCAGCCGTAATACGCCTCTCGCCCCCAGCAAAAAAATCAGGTTCGGGCCTGACAGAGTCCTATACTATCTGCACCTCAATTGGCAAGTGGCCTCTTACCCCCAACCACGAACGGATTCAGAAACCTGAAGCTTAGGCCTCACCCCGAGCTGTAATAACCTCCCCCGCCTTAAACAAAGGGTTTTCGGGACCCCGAAACCTCAAAGTTCCAACGAACAAGCTTTGCCACGTCAGGCGGCCCGTTGCAATCCACCGCGTTGGTGTAGAGAATTCCAGCTGCCATCTTCTCCCCGTCAGTAAAGGCATCCTCGCAGAGCTCCCCACAATCCAACCGAACCCACGACATCCAAAGACTCTCCCCGAATAGCCCCCGTAAACCCTAAACCCTAAACCCTTAAACCCTGAAACCCCTAAACCCTGAACCATTAAGCCGCTAAACCATGCTAAACCCTAAACCCTGAAACCCTAAACCCACAACCTTTCAGGGACATTTGGGATCCTGAAGGGCAAGCAACAGGTGCCTCTTGGCCCGAAAAGCAAAGAAGGCCGTTGGAGATACGTTGCACCTCCAACTACTATTTGCTTAGGACCCCCCCCCCCCCAAACAAAAAAAAACAAAGAATAAAAGAATAATATTCCCATATTGCCCTAATGAGGAAGAATATGTTTTTGGGGTGGTTCTTAAGCAAGTAGTAGTTAGGGTGTCTAACTTACAGCTCAAATCCTGGACCCCGATTGACCGTGAAACCCAACCTTACACCCCACAGTAGTAGACCGTGTAAACACCCCACTGCACTGCCTGCAAGTGGTGCAGTGCGAGCGCCTTCCTCGCAGAACCCCCCGACGACCCAAAGCCCAAGAATTCTCAAGCCCCGCAGCAACTTACCCTTACACCCTAAGCCCTTAACCCTAAACCCGAAACCCTAAACCCGTAACCCTAAACCCGAAACCCTAAACCCGTAACCCTTAACCCTAAACCCGAAACCCCCAGCTACGATCCCAGGAGGCCTCCAGCGCCCAGAACTTTGCCTCCTCTTGGCGTGGCAGGGCTGCCAACTCCTCCCTGCACCCGTCAGAAGCATCAAAGGGTTCTGGTGTATTGGGTTGAGAGGGTTAGGGTCTAGGGCTTAGGGCTTAGGGTTTAGGGCTTAGGGCTTAGGGTTTAGGGCTTAGGGCTTAGGGTTTAGGGTGAGGGGGTTTAGAGTTGGGATGTTCTCACTTATACTCACAGTCCTTAACAGGAATTATAGTGGGGGGGGGGGGGGTACTACAATCCCTGTTGAGGACGATTCGGGGGAACATCCCAAGTCTATTGGGCTAAGAGGGCTGAGGGGGGTTTAGCAGGGTTGAGAGGGTTTTCTAGGACCCTTTTCGGGCTTAGGACCCGACCTCCCAACTTGCAAACTCCAAGGAACCCGAAACGATTGAGGGACTGGGGGGGGGGGGGTTCCAGGACTAGGACAGCCACCTCAGCCCCTAAACCCTAAGCCCTAAGTCCTGAGACCCTAGAGCCCCAAACATCCCAAAGCTCCGAAGGCCCCAAAGATCCTAAAGCCATGACACCTAAAAAGCCCAAACCCCTGAAGCTCTAAAGCCCTGAAGCCCTTAAGAGCTTCAATCCCTGTTGGGAAGCCTGAGGTGTGAGTCGAGCGCTTGCCAGGCGACCTCAGAGCAGGGATCTGCGGGTGGGTTTGGAGCCTTTCTTGGGTTTAGGGTTTAGGGTTTAGGGTTTAGGGTTTAGGGTTTAGGGTTTAGGGTTTAGGGTTTAGGGTTTAGGGTTTAGGACCTTTTTTGGGTTTTAGGGTTTCGGCCCGCTCTCTTAGGACCGTCTTCCTTTCCTATGCACCCCCATCGCCCCGCCTTTTGCCCCCTTTTGAGCAGCTTAAAAATTGCGTAAGGGGGTAGCACCTGGAGCCCGCATGCCGCTTCACTATCAAGGGCACTTCCAGCTCGTCGACAGCACCCCTCTTTAAGGAATCTTCCTTAACCAGAGGGGGTCTTGCGCAGAACCCGTCGTGGCCAAGGCTCTGAAGCCAGCATATACGTGGCTAACAAGCATACCTCAAGCTAAGTAAGGGGGCCTGACTAGGCGTCCAAAAGTCTGTTCATTGGGTTTTTTGGGTTCCTAAGCCCTAAACCCTAAACCCTAAGAACGCCCAGCAGAAGCCTTCAACTCAGCGCCGAGTGGTGGACCAAAGATACCATGTCTAATGAAAGGGGCCTGAACCTGGGCCCGGAAAGAACAGTGCCATCCCTGAAATAGTCGTTCAGGGTTTAGGAGGTTCAGGGATTTTGGGAGGTTCAGGAGGTTTGAAGGGTTAGGGGCTGCGGGGCTTGGGGTTTAGGGTTGTTCAGGCTGGTTTAGCCCCAAACCCTAAACCCTAAACCCTAAACCCTAAACCTTGAACCTTGAACCCTAAACCCTAAACCCTAAACCCTAAACCCTAAACCCTAAACCCTAAACCCTAAACCCTAAAGGGTGTAAGCCTTGCAGAACTGTTGCCCAATCCGGGCCCCTGCCTCGTCGTCAAGGGCCGATGTTCTGCCTGTGTCCTGGGATGAAGACCCAAGAGCAGTGCAGGGTTTAGGGTTTGGGGCTTAGGGTTTAGGATTTCGGGTTTAGGGTGTAGGATTTAGGGTTTAGGATTTAGGGTTAGGGCTTAGGGCTCAAGCATAATGTTCAGTGTTCATTGCATCTGGGTTTCAACCTTTGAGGCCCAAGGGGGTTCTGGCGCCTTGCTTTAGCCGCGGAAGCTCCGAGCTTGAGATGTTTTCGTGTGGGAGCTTTGAGGTGGGGATTAGGGATTAGGGTTTAGGGTTGGGGGGGGGGGGGGGGGCTGGTTCGGGTTGGGTTGAGGAGACATGGGGGCATACCCACACTTCCTTCAAAAGTTCGGAATCGTGGGAGTCGTCGGTGTAAGTTGGAACTACAACACCCTGAGGTGGAGACCCTCGACCGACCTGAACCTGAATCCCAAACCCTGAACCCTAAAACATCCAAAACCCAAGATCCTAAATCCGCTTGGACTGGGGCTTTCGCGCGGTTCGAAGTATGACAGTCCTGTTCTTGCGGTCATGGGACGCAGCAGGTGCCCAGTCAGTGTAGTGGTTTGGGGACATCGTCAGAAGTTCGTCTAGACATAGCCCTATAGAATCCCTCCATCCGCACTGCCGTCCACAGAGCATCTGAGCTTCCACACGCAAGAGCGGGACCTGGTGGACAAGGCGGACGGGATTTAAGATTTGGGAGTCTACGGGGAGTGTATGGGTAATGACTCCAATTGGGTCCGTGCTCCCCTGGATGTAAACCATGGACGGCCCTGAAGGCAGATCTGCAGACAGCTCTACAGGACGAGCGCATTCTAACCGTGAGCACATTCTTCTCTCCTTCGCCCATCGCAAGGAGCCGCGCCACATCAACACCGCACACCCCAAAAAATCAGGGCTTCTGTATCGTATATTTATGTTCGGTGAATACAGGGGTACAGCCTCAACCTTCAGTTCATGATCCATGGGTCGTCTGCCTACTGCATGTAAAGTACCCTAGATTTAGAAGTTCTAACCTGCCTTGAACTGCACCTGGCTGCAACCTCTATGAGGGAAGCTACACCCTCCAAAAACAGCTGCAAACCTCAACCCTCGACCCTGGCTTTCGGGCCGGGGAGCTGTATGCACCGGACCCTTTACACCTTGCGTAAACACGCGAACCTTACAGAAGCCCCGAAGCAAATCATTCGGGGGTATCTTACTGGGGTCCTGATTATAAGGGCATCCTACTAGTTGGGGACGACAATGGGGATCCCGTAAACCCCCATCTTCAGTTTGCTTTTATTTCGGCCCTGGGGGTGTAAGGGGGGAAGAATGGGGGGGCGACCCCAAAATTGAATTTCTTTTCAGCAGCTTTGCCCGAAAAAACTCCTAAAACCCTACCTAACTTAAGCCCTAAACCCGGGCAAACAAACCTGAGCCCGAAACCCAACACCCCAAACCCCAAACCCCCCTAAACCCAACTCCCAAGCCTGAATTGAAGCTTTTGGGGTCTCGAGGTCTCCTATACTCCCCGCAGAACCTTAATAACAAATATGTTCAATATCCTCTTGGGTTTTATATAAAAAAATATTTTCCCAAGGGGATATAGGCTCATGCCTCAGACGACTTCCCCCGGCCTCGCGCAGCAGGCAGTCGCCCCGGCGCAGCGGCGCGGTAGCCAGGGCGCCCAAACCCTGCAGGAAAGAGGTTTAGGGTTTAGGGTTTAGGGTTTAGGGTTTGGGGCAAAGCCTCTGGCTTCCCTGGCTGTTGGGTCGGGTGTGGGTTTCGGCTTCTTATTGCTTGCGTAGCGTGTGAGCTTGGACTACCAAGGCAGTACCCGATCAATGATGGCTCACCCTTCAGCAACCCCCCCACCCACCTGAAGCAAGGCCTCTAAACTCGGCTACCAAAAGCTAAACACTTAACCCCCCAAAAGTTTGAACCGTAAAGGGTTCCTCATGAACTCCACCCACAGCCCTGAGTACCAAAGACTTACCTAGGATGGCCCTGAAGGCCCCCTGAAAAAGTTCCTAAACACGGTCCTCTTACACCCAATTTAAGGGAAAATGTAAAATATCGCGAAGCCCTAAGCCCTAAACCCTAATACCCTATACCCTAAACCATAAACCCTAAGTCCTAAACCCTAAACCCTAAACCCTAAACCCCAATGTGTTACATACCACGCACAGAAACCCCGATGCCGGGAGAGGCCTTGCCGTCAATGGCCCTGAAGTCGAAACTGCCACCTCGGAGAACAAGGTTTAGGGTTTAGGGTTTAGGGCTTAGGGTTTAGGGGTTAGGGTGTAGGGTTTAGGGTTTAGGTTTAGGGTTTAGGGTTTACGGTTTAGGGGTTAGGGTTTACGGTTTAGGGGTTAGGGTTTAGGTTTTAGGGATGAAGGCGAGAACGACAGGGACGCTCGTCAAACCCTCATGCCCCTTCAGGGAGAAAGTGTCGGGGTCTAACTAGGGGTTCAGGATCTGGGGTGTTTTCTCTTCAGCACCCCAACTACGCAAAAAGCTTAACAAGCTTAACACCCAAGGCAACACACTTGAACCCTCAACGCTAAACCCTCAACCCTAAACTCTACAAACAAAACTTCGAAACCCGTGTTTTCTGAACATCTTAAGGTTCCTTGAGGGTTGGCTTTGGGGGTTTTTGGGGTAGCTGCAAGTAAGGTAATACTTGGGATCTACCTATGAGCCTTCAAGCAGGCCCTCACCCCAAAAACGTGGGGCTCCTAAACCCTAAACCCTAAACCCTAAACTCTAAACCCTAAACCCTAAACCCTAAACCCTAAACCCTAAACCCTAAAAACACCGAGTCTGGAGCCCAGGGCGGCACGTGCCGCGAAGTGCCGCGGTGCGGCACGCGGCCTTGCGTTTCGAGGGTTTAGGGTTTAGGGTTTAGGGTTTAGGGTTTAAGGTTTAGGGTTTAGGGTTTAGGAGGCCCAGTACGGCACAACTGGACCCGAAGCCACAGCTCGAGGACAACACCCTGTGCCTCTTGGCGCTGTCGCACCCACGCAACACCGCGAACGCTTGCGAACATCATTGGCGCTGAAAGGCGGCTGTTTTGGTCAACGCTTAGGTCTGGATCCCAACCTCGGAACGCCTTATGGTAAAGCTTCTTAGCGCCTGCCCAGAAGACGACGTGCTAAACCCCCAAATCGGTGGGCACCTAAACCCTAAACCCTAAACCCCAAACCCGAAACCCCAAACGCTAAACCCCCCCTAAGGACGCCTCCGGGCAGCGCTGATGGTGGCAAAGAGGCAGAGGGCGACCTGCGTTCCATTTTAGGGGTTCAGGGTTCAGGGTTAGGGTTGAGGGTTTTAGGGTTTTAGGGTTTTAGGGTTTTAGGGTTTTAGGGTTTTAGGGTTTTAGGGTTTTAGGGTTTTAGGGTTATGTACGTAGGACCTTTAGGGTCTATTTGGCGCTGCGCTTGGCCTCGACCTCAAGGACTTCTGGGATTTTATGTTTTAAGGATATTATGCATTTTCAAATAGAAGAAAATCCTTAAAATCCGTAAAAAATAAAATCCGAGGCGCCGAATTTGGTTTTAGGAGAAGCCCCAAACGATTTAAATTTTTAAAAATCCTTAAAATCCATAAAAAATAAAATCAAAATAATTTATTTTTAAGGATTTTAAGGATTTTATTCGATTTTAAAATGCATAAAATCCTTAAAAAATAAATTCGGCCTCTGATTTTATTTTTTAAGGATTTTATGCATTTTAAAATAGAAGAAAATCCTTAAAATCCGTAAAAAACAAAATCCGAGGCGCCGAATTTGGTTTTAGGAGAAGCCCCAAACGATTTAAATTTTTAAAAATCCTTAAAATCCATAAAAAATAAAATCAGAATAATTTATTTTTTAAGGATTTTAAGGATTTTATTCGATTTTAAAATGCATAAAATCCTTAAAAAATAAATTCGGCCTCTGATTTTATTTTTTAAGGATTTTATGCATTTTAAAATAGAAGAAAATCCTTAAAATCCTTAAAAAACAAAATCCGAGGCCGAATTTGGTTTTAGGAGAAGCCCCAAACGATTTAAATTTTTAAAAATCCTTAAAATCCATAAAAAATAAAATCAAAATAATTTATTTTTTAAGGATTTTAAGGATTTTATTCGATTTTAAAATGAATAAAATCCTTAAAAAATAAATTCGGCCTCTGATTTTATTTTTTAAGGATTTTATGCATTTTAAAATAGAAGAAAATCCTTAAAATCCTTAAAAAATAAAATCCGAGGCCGAATTTGGTTTTAGGAGAAACCCCAAACGATTTAAATTTTTAAAAATCCTTAAAATCCATAAAAAATAAAATCAAAATAATTTATTTTTTAAGGATTTTAAGGATTTTATTCGATTTTAAAATGCATAAAATCCTTAAAAAATAAATTCGGCCGCTGATTCTATTTTTTAAGGATTTTATGCATTTTAAAATAGAAGAAAATCCTTAAAATCCTTAAAAAATAAAATCAGAGGCCGAATTTATTTTTTAAGGATTTTATGCATTTTAAAATCGAATAAAATCCTTAAAATCCTTAAAAAATAAATTATTTTGATTTTAGTTTTTATGGATTTTAAGGATTTTTAAAAATTTAAATCGTTTGGGGCTTCTCCTAAAACCAAATTCGGCCTCGGATTTTATTTTTTAAGGATTTTAAGGATTTTCTTCTATTTTAAAATGCATAAAATCCTTAAAAAATAAAATCAGAGGCCGAATTTATTTTTGAAGGATTTTATGCATTTTAAAATCGAATAAAATCCTTAAAATCCTTAAAAAATAAATTATTTTGATTTTATTTTTTATGGATTTTAAGGATTTTTAAAAATTTAAATCGTTTGGGGCTTCTCCTAAAACCAAATTCGGCCTCGGATTTTATTTTTTGAGGATTTTAAGGATTTTCTTCTATTTTAAAATGCATAAAATCCTTAAAAAATAAAATCAGAGGCCGAATTTATTTTTTAAGGATTTTATGCATTTTAAAATCGAATAAAATCCTTAAAATCCTTAAAAAATAAATTATTTTGATTTTATTTTTTATGGATTTTAAGGATTTTTAAAAATTTAAATCGTTTGGGGCTTCTTCTAAAACCAAATTCGGCCTCGGATTTTATTTTTTAAGGATTTTAAGGATTTTCTTCTATTTTAAAATTCATAAAATCCTTAAAAAAATAAAATCAGAGGCCGAATTTATTTTTTAAGGATTTTATGCATTTTAAAATCGAATAAAATCCTTAAAATCCTTAAAAAAATAAATTATTTTGATTTTATTTTTTTTATGGATTTTAAGGATTTTTAAAAATTTAAATCGTTTGGGGCTTCTCCTAAAACCAAATTCGGCGCCTCGGATTTTGTTTTTTACGGGTTTTAAGGATTTTCTTCTATTTTAAATCAAGCTCCTAGGCGCCTAAGCGCCTACTTCTTCAACCCTTAAAACCTTAAACCAGTTCCTAAGTCCTAAGCTACCCCCTGCACTAGTAGATCCTTAAACCCTAAGCTCCAAAGCTCCTAAGCTCCTCGGCGCCTACCCCCTAAACCCCTAAACCCCTAAACCCTTAAACCCTAAACCCTAAGCTCCTGAGGTCCTAAGCACCTAAGTGCCTACCCCCTAAATCCTTAAACCCTCCTAAGCTCCTAAGCTCCTAAGCGCCTAAGCGCCTAAGCGCCTACCCTTAAACCTTAAATCAAACCCTATACTCCTAGGCTCCGAAATCCTTAAACCTAAACCCTAAACCCTAAACCCTAAGCTCCTAAGCTCCTAAGAGCCTCAGCGCCTACCCCCTAACCCTGAGACCCCGGGACCCCTTTTTAAATTTGAAAAATCCTTGCCTTCTTCTACGCTGAAATTTTCTAGGTTTTAAGGACGTTAAGAGATTTTAATATTTAAAAGGAGCTTTCGTTTTTGAGGTTGAGGGCACGCTAGGGCTGACAAAAACCCTATGCTAGGGTTTACAAAAAATTAAAACCCTTTCGCTTGAACGTGTTTACAAACACACCTTCGTTTTCGAGGATGGGGGCACACCCAGGCTTACAAAAATCCCGTCGTTTTTGAAGTTTAGGACACACTAGGGTTTACGCAAAAATGCAGGCGCACCAGGTTGATAAACAAACCTTTCGTTTTTTGATGTTGAGGACATATCAAGGTTCAAATCGAACCTTTTCGTTAAAGCAATGATGGTGCTTTAAGGTTTTGCAAAACAACAACGTTCCTTAACGTTGTTGCAGTCTTACTTTTTCAATGCTTCAAGATCTTTACCAGGCTACAAGAAGTGCATTTTTGTAAAAAAATCGTATGATTGAGGTCTCTGGTCTCCACCCTACAGTTTAATATTTTGCGGTAACCATAACTAAAACTGTTTGCATCGTTCAGTTACAGTGATTGCGCCCAATGTGATATCTTGAGCCTCCCAAATATTATGAAAAAATGAAGACCTGAATTCAAAATACTATAAAAAATGAAGACCTGAATTCAATTATTCAAAATGTTCAAATTATGGGCTCTCTAAAAGACTTAACACCCTTTAAATAGCTCAGTGTGGTTCTTTTATTCATCGTATCTCTCTCCATCTTTTTCTCTTTCGCTCTCGCTTTCTCTCTGTCTCTCCCTCTCTCGCTCTCTCTCTCTCTCTCTCTCTGTCTCTCTCTCTCTCTCTCGCTCCCTCTCTCTTCTCTTTGTCTCTGTCTCTCTCTGTCTCTCTCCTTCTCTGCCTCCTTCCCTCCTTCCTGCCATCATTCCTTTCTCTTCCCCTCTTCCTTCTTCTTGTTCTTGCCTCTTTCCTCCTCGCCCCTCCCGTTTTTTACTTGCCATTCAACATCCTTCAAGAAGTGTCCCCTTTTGCCCTTTCGCAGTCTTCTCTCAAACCCCTGGGAGGCCCTTTCAGGGAGCCCCTTCAAGGAACCCGAAAACGGCGGGGCCCTGGTGGATATTGAAAGAACATAAAATCCTTAAAAAATAAAATCAGAGGCCGAATTTATTTTTTAGGGATTTTATGCATTTTAAAATCGAATAAAATCCTTAAAATCCTTAAAAAACTAAATTATTTTGATTTTATTTTTTTATGGATTTTAAGGATTTTTAAAAATTTAAATCGTTTGGGGCTTCTCCTAAAACCAAATTCGGCCTCGGATTTTATTTTTTAAGGATTTTAAGGATTTTCTTCTATTTTAAAATGCATAAAATCCTTAAAAAATAATATCAGAGGCCGAATTTATTTTTTAAGGATTTTATGCATTTTAAAATCGAATAAAATCCTTAAAATCCTTAAAAAAATAAATTATTTTGATTTTATTTTTTATGGATTTTAAGGATTTTTAAAAATTTAAATCGTTTGGGGCTTCTCCTAAAACCAAATTCGGCGCCTCGGATTTTGTTTTTTACGGGTTTTAAGGATTTTCTTCTATTTTAAATCAAGCTCCTAGGCGCCTAAGCGCCTACTTCTTCAACCCTTAAAACCTTAAACCAGTTCCTAAGTCCTAAGCTACCCCCTGCACTAGTAGATCCTTAAACCCTAAGCTCCAAAGCTCCTAAGCTCCTCGGCGCCTACCCCCTAAACCCCTAAACCCCTAAACCCTTAAACCCTAAACCCTAAGCTCCTGAGGTCCTAAGCACCTAAGTGCCTACCCCCTAAATCCTTAAACCCTCCTAAGCTCCTAAGCTCCTAAGCGCCTAAGCGCCTACCCTTAAACCTTAAATCAAACCCTATACTCCTAGGCTCCGAAATCCTTAAACCTAAACCCTAAACCCTAAACCCTAAGCTCCTAAGCTCCTAAGAGCCTCAGCGCCTACCCCCTAACCCTGAGACCCCGGGACCCCTTTTTAAATTTGAAAAATCCTTGCCTTCTTCTACGCTGAAATTTTCTAGGTTTTAAGGATGTTAAGAGATTTTAATATTTAAAAGGAGCTTTCGTTTTTGAGGTTGAGGGCACGCTAGGGCTGACAAAAACCCTATGCTAGGGTTTACAAAAAATTAAAACCCTTTCGCTTGAACGTGTTTACAAACACACCTTCGTTTTCGAGGATGGGGGCACACCCAGGCTTACAAAAATCCCGTCGTTTTTGAAGTTTAGGACACACTAGGGTTTACGCAAAAATGCAGGCGCACCAGGTTGATAAACAAACCTTTCGTTTTTTGATGTTGAGGACATATCAAGGTTCAAATCGAACCTTTTCGTTAAAGCAATGATGGTGCTTTAAGGTTTTGCAAAACAACAACGTTCCTTAACGTTGTTGCAGTCTTACTTTTTCAATGCTTCAAGATCTTTACCAGGCTACAA